TCAATCTTTATCACAAAAAAAATGTCCACTGGAAATTCAAATTAATTTTTTATTAGCCTTAGCCTTTGAATTTCAAATATTGACAAAAATTTGTCAAAACCATGAATATTTGCAAATTATTTTGTWGTTCAAAATTCATAATATTGTTTKTATTTATATCTAAGGTTATAAAATTTAACACCAAGTTTTGCTTCAAATAGCTATAGAAAAAATTTGAAACGTCATTATAGGAAAAATGTTTTGAGCGTTTGAGTTTTAAATTTTTATGAAATTGCGTAATGATAACGATTTATCCTCAAACCAGGTATATGTATATCTATGATAATATAAGGTATTATGAATTATGATAACTACATGATAACTACACTAATTGATTAACTATGCCTTATGCAAAATGCGTCTTAATTGAAAAATAAAATATTTGTTTCAAAATAGACTATATGACAATATTTAAATATAATATATCCTAGACTAACAAATCATCTCCGTTCAGAATCGTTTTTCKTATACAATGATACCTATCATTGCATTCAAATTTAATCMCATCCATTACAGAAACCTACAGTACAGCAGAGCGACATCCACGAATTACCCGCTTTTTTTTTAATGTATACAATCAAACAAAGTATTAAACGTAAACTGTTCAATATTCATATTCTGAGCGTAGGGAAAGAATGTGTCGTATTCACAATGATTGTGTTTTCGATATTATTGACTTTAGCATCGCTTCTAAAATTGATCAAAATCGCGAAAATTTAGATATTTGTTTTTAGTTAGAAATTCATAAAAAAAGTTCTTTTCTAAACAACAATATTGAATTGATGATTCGCCACAAGTTTTTATGTCATATATTTGTTTGAATTTAAAATTTTCACGTTTTTGAATATTCAACAGTAATAATTAACAAATTACCATTAATTAATTCTCGATGTTTTATTGAAATTCAAAAATTAACGAGTTGGTCATTATCATTGTTAGGTTAGGTCATAGTCCCACTATGATGAAAAGGCGCGGGGCCACTAAAATGTTCAGGCTCTGGGCCTAAACGTCCTAACGTTTCAGGCACACGGTTGCACATGCATTTATTTTAGAATATTATAATATCTTTGTAGCATATTAGGTATACCTTCGAATAAAATATGCGTGTGCGCGAAACATGTGTAGTAGTGGCAGTACCTGTGTTCCTTTGTCTCGGTACGGGCGGCGGTCCTGTGACTGTAACAAATCGAATTTAGTCGGTTTTTGAGGATCACTCGCAATGAATGGTGAGAGGATGATGAAGAGGAAACCGCGAGAAGAAGTTCTCTCGGCTTTTTTTCAACGTCATCTTCGCGTATATCTTCTCGCTTTGTACGTACACCACACACGTGTTGAACCCTCCACCGTGTCGCTTATAAGCCATAAAAAACTGAAATGAAGAAAAAAAATAACACATAATACTATGTAGATATGCCGTTCGCGTGTAAACATTAACGATTAATAATATTCGACATGTATGAAGGTCAAATGAGGTTGTAAGTAGTATGTGTGCCCGAGTTTATATAAAATCCCATGGTACTTAAGAAATTTAAATACATCGATTTGTGAAGTCAACCGTCGTCGTCGTATTCTTCGTATTCGTTTTGTAACAGCGCGTTTTGATAATTAATTATTGCAAGTAAAATTATTATCGATAGTCATTCCAAAGCGCTGCCGAACGAACGAGATGCTCGACAGTGGAATACAAAATATTATGAACTGTTCATTCCTAACCGCGGTAAGTCACCGACGGCATAATATTATACGGATAACGCGTTTGCTTCTAGGTAGGTATTTTAATATTATATATATATGTTCATACATTTTTAAGATAATTGCTGATGAATAAACTTTACATTAATAATATATAATATTGATTTATTGATTTGCTATCGCCATCAGCGACTAGACTGGGCACTGGCCAACCATCACATACTGTTGGGGTGAAATTCAAAAATCGAATAACACTTATTGTGAGGATCAGTGCGGAATATTTTTTAAAAATAATAACTAACTAATAATACAGCTACAAAATATTAGAATTTATTGAATTGAGGTACTATCGGTACAGCGGTATGCTATGAGCATATCGGTCGTTACCAGAGTGCCTCACGCCGCTAAATACACGTCAAATAAGTAAATAGTCTGAGCGTCCTGACTAATTTAGTGATAACTTTTTATTTTTGACTGCTATTGATGCCATTAACCGTCCAAATATTTAATACACACATTATGCCTAGCTACATGGCTGGTATATATATATATGTGTGTGTGTGTGTCACGGTCACGTATTTGTTACCTTACGACCACGAAATTCGCGTTAATTCCGAAGACAAACAATACGAAAAGTGTGCTGTCACGGGTGAAAAATATCGAGGCTCATCCTCGCGCGAGATCCACGTCCCGCTTCTCGACCGTGCGTAAATATATAATAATAGTAATAACTACGACAACGACAAAAAACGTGGTATTATAGTGAGTGGGTAAACCGGGTGACCAATAACAATAATAATAAAAAAAAAAATAATAATAATATAAATACGTCAACGGGGCAAAAACGCAAACTTTTCATTCGCGTTTCATCGTTATTGCGATTTTTTCCAACCCCTCTTTGCGGCTGTATATATGGGTATTTCGAGACTTCAAGCTCCGTTGCGCTTTCGGGTCGAATTATTATTCGCCAAACCAGATGACGTAAATGACATAGATGTATATGCGTGTAATAATAGTAATAACAACAATAACAGTAATAATATCTTAACATCACGACGACGGGCGCAATTCGTGAGTTATGTACGCGATGGTAGATTGCCGAGAGGTTAGGTCTACGGTACACGTTTGAGAAATTGCCACTGGACAACGGATGACCGCGCGCTTTACCGTTTCACTGCACTTGCACCGGTTCATCACATAATATTATGCGCGTCTACTAAATGTGTTGAACGCTTGTGGAGAAATATGTGCAACGATTTGTACGAATCCATTGGAAAAATAGCACAAAATTAATACTAAAACATTGAAGAGGTATTTTAATTGATTAGCTAATTATAATATATAGTTTAGCTGGAGTTCATAATAAAGTTTAATCGTTTTTATAATAATTATTCGTCGAGAGTTAACTCTGAAGTCACAACCAATGAATACTGTTGCCGCTGAATTTTGAGACAGAGCAATTCAGTCAATTTTTATACTATATTAATTAAAAGTAAAATTCTATGCAATTCTATAATATTAATAATAGGTTTTGTAAATTTATAACGTTTTACTCTGAAAACTTATCGATTATCAGTGACAATACTAACTTCTGTTTTTTTTTTTTTTTTTATAACCACTCTTTTCACTTTATTTATTCAGCAAATATATTTTTTTGAGAATTTTTATGTATCTATAAATTAAAATTAAAATTTCAGAGAATAGTTTTTTAGTTATACAACTTAGTATGTTAAAGTATGGCTTATCCTTGGCTTAGGTAATTATTATATTTTTAAAATGTCTATTTATCTATCAGTATCTATAAGTATTTTAGTAAAAAAGGAGCGGTCCTATTTGAGAAATAAAAATTTATATTGCCATAAGAGACTTCTTAAGTAATACAAAAAACATCAGAATATTGAAAATTAGGTTTAAGGTAGGCATATTTGAAAATTCTAAAAATCAAAATTTGAATAAATGTTCCATTAAAGGGGAAAATGAGGATGAGGATACTTAGAAAGTCATCATGATAGATTTAAACCCGATATGCTCCAAGTTCTTAATGACAAATTACTATTTATAAACAGGTACGATACTTTATAGTTATAATATGTATACAACAAAAATAACTATAGGAAAGAAAAAAACAAGCTTTCCAAATTGTCTTGAACCAGAATTTCGCCAAAAGCTGATAACTAAACTATGATTATATTATGATATAAAGTACATACTGTAAAGGTTAGGTTACCTAACTATTTTTAAAAATAAACTTCCGCGATAGAATCATAATAATGATGACAGACGTGCTATCGCCCACGATCTCGTTGCCGTCAAATACTGCATATAGGAAAATCGAAAAAACTGTGTTCTAAACCGTAAAAAATACTTATTATCTTTCTGTTTTTTTTTTATATATATTTATAATAATTTCCTTGAACCTCCATAACTACGCGCGTAGTTCGAGAGTGGCAGAAGACGTATGCGCGATTTGTCGTAAAAGTCTCTAAGCGTAAAAAATATTATATTAAACAATTTACGACTTATACGTGAATATAAAATATAAATAATATTACTACGAATATACGTCATTTTATTGTTCAGAAAAAAAAAATGAACGGAACTTGCGTTATTATTATTATTTTATTTGTAAACATTTTTTTATACAAAATATATTTAAGCAATTTCACACATCATCGGTCTCTAGATTTGTCTCACGTTTGAGCAACCTTTTCCTCCGTGTGCGCGTTACATCGGTTCATTATAATCTCTCTAAACGATTCAGAGTTTTTATCGAATATTTTTGAGAAAAAAAAACCAAAAAAACTGCCGTGAAATTATTCTTTATAATTTTCACACAATACGATTTATCGTCAACGCGTACAATAATAATATTATATCTTTGAAAATATTTATGCAAACACATCCGTCGTAATGCGTGTACGGTTTTGGTCGGTTGAACGTCTTCTGCAGCAGAAAACCCAAAACGTGAATCGATCGTGATTCTTTGCGAACGTTCAAAAACTGCGTACCGAAACGGCGCCATACACGAAACGTAAATATTATTGATACCTAATAATAACAATCAATGAAAAAAAGTAACAGCCATCAATTAATATACATTTTGACGGCTAAAAACTGTATGATAAAGCGGCTATATACCAACGTTCTTAGAGAGTGAAGAAAAATAAAATGTTGTATACCTGTTCGGAACACTGTCATTGGATTGAACTTAACCACGCCAAACATCTGCAAAGCTATGTATACTTTTTATTCTTTTCAAGTAAATCAGCAAAACTTTATTTCAACTTCTTCGAGCTCGTATATCCGTATAGGTTTGGTAAGTTTATAATATAACGCTGCAACCATAATACATAATATAATAATATTATTGTTTGATGATTTGAATTTTTTATTTTATCATAACAATAAAATTACAACTAAAAGTTGAGCTTGTTAACAGTCATACGTGACTCATGCAAAATTATTTTAGACCCGGACAAAATTTTTACATGTGATGTCAAAGCGGATATAGAAATAATCGTTCAGTCTTCATAATACCTAACCTGGAATATTTAGGACTATAATATATATAATATATATATATATATATTTATATATTACTATAGTAATAATGATAATTTTAACGGATTTTTTTTCGACTTTATGTATCAATTTCAACAATAGTTTGTCGTAAAAAAAAACTAAAGTCATGTATCTATATATATATATATATTATATAGAGTTTATTAAAAGAAAACATTATCTACTGAAACTAAATTGTTTTGTTTCTCTTGCATACACAGTGCAACCTATGACGTTCGAATTAATTAACTGATAAAACAAAAAAACTATCTCGATAGATAGTTATTATTCATCTAATTCATATCTAATATGTTGAATAATGATAATTGATATACAAACATAGATATTATACCATTGTGGGTTTATAGAGTAAACGATAATGTAATATAATTCTACATTTACAACAATAATTACGAGCTGGTACCTCCCGAAAACCGTGTAATATTCTAGAAAATGCATAATATTGTAATAATGTTTAGATGTGATTTTCGGGAGTGTTAAATTTACATCTGCAAACGCACACATGTTGCGAACAAATAATAATAATAATAATTTTTATTATTATTATTATTACCTATTATTTATTTGAGCCTTATTGTTATAAATTGGTTTGGATGACTCACTGTCGTTTTTAAACGATAAAATACGTTACGAACGAACACTTTGCAATACTTTTATTATTATCTTTAAATCCTAACAATGTTTTTACTGTCACAAAACAKAGTTAATTATCATATTAGAAAATAACGTGCACTTTCACGTTGACAATAATAATTTATATTCCAACTCGCAATAATCAGCTTAGGAAAAATTAACGAAATCAAAATGGATTTGCATATAAATTTCAATCGAACCAAATTATAAAAGATACCAATTATAATAGGTACATTGGAATAGGCAGACCAAAGGTGCAATCACTTCATGAATTGTTTACGTCGTATGTCCTGTCGTTCGTGATCGTGATAACTTTACTTTCAAATATTAACCAATATGGTTTAAAAATTGAGCTGTAGTCAATTTTGATAATCTCGGTTGAAAACTGATTATTACACGATACTAAAAGAGTAACACGTCCAAGTAAACCCCAATTTGATCGACATGACACACAACGTGACTGAATGTTAAATAGACACGACAATGGTTAATGGTAATGGTTCGTCGACTCAGAGTTCTAAGATCATATCGATCGATATACGCGAGTAAACGACATAATATGATAATTTTGATGAATGCCGGAAAAAAAGTCCCCGTTAATAACTACGAAAAACATGATTGTACGTAATTATAGGTTTAGTCATTTGGTTGGGCATAAAAATCCATCGATTTGGAAATTATTGAAAAATATGAAAAACGAAGTGGGGGCTGATAACGCCAAATTAAAATTGAGTGAAATAGGGCAATTAACTTATAAGCGACCACATAAAGGGCATATAATGCAAACTCGACTAAAAAATGTATGCGAACAATTTACTAGGGGAGAATTGAGCGTTGATATCTTCTTGACAAATATAGGGCATAATATAAGAATGAAATCTGATTGAATTTGTAAAAGTGTATTTTGTTTTTGACTTGTAAAAAAAAATATAATATAATTATAATACATATACCTGTAGGCTGTAACACATAATTTTGTAAAATTTTTGTAAATTTTGTAACTTTGTAACTTTTTTAACATATAATTATTAAATGTTTTGATAAATGTAATAATTACGTACAATCATGTTTTTTCGTATGATTTTATTAACGGAGACTTTTTTTCCGGGTACTTTTTTTCCATTTACCAATAAGTATCACTCAGAGATCGAAAAAAGGTCCATCTGTGACATAAAAAATCACGAGGCCTATCTATGACATTGTAACTACGGTATACAGCGTGTTCCGTGAGGATATACCCATTAGCCGTAGATGGAGGCTCGCTATCCAGATGAAACCAGTTTTTGCCGTTTTATAAATACTAAACAAATTATTAAAAATCATGTGATTAATGAAAAAAAAATGTTGAAAGGTCAAAATAAATTCTATAAAATAGGTATTTTTGTTTTTGAAAAAAATAAAATTCATGTAGCCTTTGTCTAAGTGAGTCTAAAAAAAAACAACAGATTTATGATATCTGAGGTGATCTATTTAACGTGAAACATTTATTATTTCAAAATGTTTTAACTTTTGAAAATGTTGACTTTTAATGAAATCTACAAATAATTAATATTCCTAAAATGTTCACATTTTTTATCATATAATAAATATGAATTAACTTAGGATTTTTAAATGGCAACACTTATATTTAATACCAAAAAATTATAAAACTATTTATTTTTTTAAGATCGTCTGCGTTTGAATTTTTTATTTCGATTCCATAGATTTGAGATTTATAGCCAATTCAAAATACGATATAGGAGAATCTTTTTGTGTTTATTCACTTTGTTTACGCTTGTCCTAATTCATTTTTGGTCAATCATATAACAAATCAATAATCTTTGAATCAGAGTAATCAGGATGGCTTATAAACACTATTATTACATTACACACATACCTATACATATTATATAATAAAGACACGGGTAGGATATTATAACCTCTTATCGTTTTATCTTATCATTAATTATTAGTATGAAAATAAATATTTATTTTACATCCCTACTATGATTATCTATTAACTTGGATAAAACATGTTAACTCCTGGTCTTTACAAACGAAAAATACAATAGCAACACCAACAAAAAATACCTAACTATGAGAGGCTATATCTTAGTAATGGATTATTCAAAAATTAAAATTCTAATATACATTTCATAAATGCTATTCATAGGTTGCCGTCAAAAGTTGATAGTGGTTTTACTTACCAAAAATAAGGCTTGAAATAACATGGGGATGAAAAATGTCTAAATATTATAAAATGTTGATATTAATAAATAAAAAATTGAAAAATGTTAATACTTTTTAAAATAATGAGTGTCTTACGTTGAATGGATCACCCAGTGTTTATTATCTCAGGAGATGTTGCAATGGGTAAATCTTCGTGGGACACCCTGTATATCTTGATTTTTAAAATCGGCCCCGAATATTATTATATTATGTATAGTATGCACGTGGAGATTTATAGAATGAAGACCCCCACGATTTAAAAAATATGATATTAATAAATTAAAATATACCTGTATCCGATTAAAATTCCGTTATAACTCTATTAAGGTTTTTCGAGAATAATTTTCCACGGTGAAAAAACCTTTTTTCGTATTTGCAGGTCTGCCTTTGGCTGTGCAGCGGATTGTGCTGTGGCGCTCCCGCGGCGGGCCTGCTTCCACCTCACCGGCGGCCGGCCATAGTCGACCCGCACCCGATGTCGCGGGTGGCCACGTTGCAGCCCGTAAGAAGTCGTGGATTTGCTTCACAGCAGCAGCAGCAAAGGAAGTTGGCGGCAGCGGGGACCACGGTGTCAGTGGCTCCGGAGGACAGTGGACAGCCAGTGGATCAGGACGCTGCGGACACGGTCGGCTTTAACATCGGGCTGGGCTTCGGGCTGGACACGCCGCTCATCGATTCACTGCTTGAACGGTTGATTAGGCGTAAACAGCTCCTGATGGCAGCGGCCGCGGCCACGTACCCAGGAGCAGGAAATTGGGGTGTGGCTGGCGGTGGCAGCGGAGGTTACTTTCCAGGACCAGCGGTCGTATTCCCGTACAGTGGAGCAGGTGGAGGCGTGGGTGGTAGCGGAGGCGGAATTCTTCCATGGAACAGGCCCACCGCATATCCGCTCCCGTTCGTGCCATCCCTGAACCCATTCGGTGGTGGTGGCAATGGAGTTGGCGGTGGAGGTTGGGGTGGTTTCGGCAGTAATGGCATCGGCGGCGGTGGTTGGGGTGGTGGTTGGGGTAGTTTCAACCCGCTGTTCGATTTTGACGATTTCGGATGGAAGAACAATAACGCACAACAATAAGTCCTCTCAAATATTACATAAAAATAATCATTGTAATAATAAATTATTTATACATTATATAAAAACAAATCTGAGTAACATTAAGAAAATACAATCTAATATAAATAAACATGTATACTCGTAAGAAAAAGGATTTTTGGTCAGAAAAATTAATTTTATACTCAACTCGATAAACCTAGCAAGTAACTCGATAGATTATCAAAATTTTTTTTAATATAAATTGACAGAGTAACTATTAGGTTTAGCTGTTTTTAAATATATATACCAAATCACAATGTAGGTACGCGTTATTATAATTAACTAACAATATATCATTAATATATATATTTTTCAATTTGTTAAATCTTAGCTTAATTTATATAAACTTAAGGCTGTGTCATTACTAAGTTACTTTTCAAAAATTAATTTGGAGGTATCTCCAACGAAATCAGATATACCCGTTGATATTAATCGATATTCAAATATAATTTAATATATAACTCATTGTATTTATGAGAGTATGGAATGTGTTACTAGACAATAAACTCATAACCTATGTATGAATATACTTTATTTTTGTATTATTTAATACCTTTATCAGCTAATGGAAAAATTACATCGCGAAACATGACGGACCGTGTACGATTGTCGGAAAATTGGTACGGTTGTTTTGAACGTGGAATATTGGTACGGTCGTTAAAAACCAGGGTTTCTTAAACTATGAAATACAATCATAAAGCATCTGCACATTAGATAAGTACTGCATGAAATTGTAGGGAAGTATTAATCTAATCTACAACTATCAAGTATGATTAATGCTTTAGCGTTTTAACTCTCAAYGAAGTATCCAGTGGAATGGCTTATTTGTATACAATAATTCCTATAGAACTATTGTTAGTGGCTAAATACTTTGATGACATCTATGTCAGTGGGGTAGACTACCAAAAAGTCCGAGGTAAAAAAGTCCTAGGAAAAAAAGTTCCTAGTAAAAAAGTCCGTGTTTAAAAAGTCCGATATAGGTACGTCATATAATTAGGTAAAAGGAAAAATTAATACTTAATTTAATTAAGAAATAATTTTAATATATAATTATAATTTATTTGTATGATTAATKATTTYGATTGTTGTATAYTTATTTATAGGTATATTATAATTATTATCATTGATTTTTTTTGATAATACATATAATATAATACCGGACTTTTTATGCCTCGGACTTTTTTTCCGCGATTCGTCAGTGGTACTAGCGATACCCCAATGTTTTCTCCAATTTTGTGGA